TTTTTTTTTAGGCTGTTAAAATGGCAGCAAGTGAGGCTGGCGGTGTTGTTGCATCAGCTACAGCATCTGATTGGGATACAAGAGAATCAATGCGTCAGCGTGAATTAGATGAAGCCAGAGCACGAGCAACACAAATGGAGAAAACAATGCGATGGTGGTCTGATTGTACCGCTAACTGGCGTGAAAAATGGAGCAAGGTAAAGTAAACTTTATGAAAGAGATTAGTGAGAATTCAAATTTTTCGTTGTTATTTCTAGGTGAGAAATGAAAGAAACAAAGCTCGAGAAGAAGCTAAGATGCTCAAAGATAATTTAGAACATGTACTAAAAGAAAACAGTAATATAAAAAGAGAAAAGCAAAATCTTGAGCAACAGAATGAGTGCTTGCGCAAAGAATTAGAAAAAGTCAATCTGATTCTATTAAAACATGCAGGTATATTTTCTGAAACAAATGTTCAAGTTTAGTTAGTTTTAAACATTTTTTTTTCGACAGGACAATGGGATTCTCAACTGGTTGATGCATTGGAAAATGGTATTTCTGATCCAGATACTTGCTGTAGTTCATCATCTATACCTCAGCCATCCATTGTGAGTGACTCTGGTATTGAAGAATATGTTTTACAAGAAGCAGTTCCCAAACATGCAGTTGAAATGTTCAACCAAACAACTTCTCCCATTAAATCACCAATTCCTAATAAAACCATATCTGACGAATTAGCCGATAATCTTGAGAAAAATTTGGAAAATCTGTTGGAAAGCACTCAACAAGATTTAAACAATTTGCATAGTCAGTTGTCAGGTACAGATAGTTTTAAATCAGAATGTCAAGCTTGTCAAGACAATCAGGTTATTACAAACAAACGTTTGGAAGACTTAAGAATACAGGTAATTAATAAATTATTTGTTGACAAAATCACAATACATAAATAATAATAATAATTATTATTATTACCGATCTTAGCTAGAACATTTACAATCTGAAAATGAAATTGAATGGAGCAAAAGAGAACAACTTGAAAGTGAAATGATGAACTTGGAAAGAATCAATAAGCAATTAAAATCTGAACTAAATGACACACTAGACAAATTGCAGAAACAGAGTAAACCTGAATCATCATCAGACACAAAATATAGATTATTACAAGAAGAATTGGCTGATAAAAATATTGTAAGTTTTTTTGCTTACAGACAGAGGTATAATATAAAAGTTATATACTTAATAATTTTTCTATCACTTTTTTCAGGAGTTAGCCAATTTAAAACACATTCTATCCAAACAAAAGAAATTGTGTGTTGACCATAGTGCTGAGACAGCACATTTGGTGAGGCGGGGTGAGCAATATGAGAATGAAGTAAAACGCTTAAGAAGCCGAGTAGAGGAATTAAAAAGAGAATTAGCTACTACAGAAGAAGATTATGATACTGCTTCTAATACTATAAAGTAAGTCTTATTCAATGTTTGTGCTAAAATGTAATAATAAGATATAAGTTTTGATAAATTTACTTGAATTTAATGTAAAAGGATTATACAAATAATTAAGTTAAATTGAAATAATTATCTACTTTATAAAATAATGTAGGTAATACTGATAATATTATGCAGATTGATTAATTAATCAACCTGATTTAACTGACACATATATTATATTATAGCAGGCATCTCTTTCTATGAACAAAATGATAAAAGTCTAGGCAAAAAGTTACCTAAGTATTCCAATGTATTTTAACCTGTCTTTACAGACCTTTTTTATTATAGACATGAACAGTACTTCTCCTCAATACTTTGATAAAAGACAACAATGTTAGTTGTTCAAACTCAAATATTATCATACATATAATATGTATATACATATATGACTATGTTACAGTGTCATTGGTCTCTCAATTGTGATTACTCATCAAGCCTTGGCAGTCAAAGCTCAAATTAATCACTTATAAATTGTAGATATCAATAAAAAAAAAAAACAAAACAAAAGCTTAAAAAAAAATTTAGGACCTAAATAGCTTCTTAAAGCATCTCTCTATTTACACCTTTGCTAAAGATTAATATAACCGGTCTAGTTTCTACAATAGACATTTTTGATGGTCTGAATATCCATTTTTTATTTTATCTATCTATTTATTTGTGTTGTATATCAACGGGTATCTACCCTTTTACAAATTTTATAAAGAAAACATATCAGATAAAAACTAAAAACTAAAAACTCAATAAGTGTAGTAAAACCTAACAAAAACAAATATAACAATATAAAAATAATTCTGAATTACAAGTAATAAGTATATAAAATTATGGGCACACTATAAACATTTTCCATATTAATCAATCAATATTTTTTAGTCATAACATAGATTTAGATTTAAAACAATTGCGTGAGAGAAAAAATGTCTAAATGTATACAAATTTTATTAGGTAAAATTAATGCTTGAGGCAAAAAAGAATTGGTACCATTATTCGTTTTATTATGAGTCGTTATATACAGTTATATAAATAAATCTGAATTACGTGTAATTAGATATGGAATTCGAAAGCCAATTTCAGATAACAATTCCGGGACACTCAATATTGTAATTATAAAATAAAAAATAATAACATCATAGACAAATATAATATCAGTTAATTTCCATCTATGTGAAAGAGAAACAATACCAGTATAATCTTGAGTTAGACGGAGAGAGTCCCTTGATAATGGAATATTTAACAAATATGAAATCCTCTTTAAAAATTTGTATTGTACATTGTCCAAATCATTTATATATGTCAAATATTTGCATGATCAGATTACTGAGGCGAAATCAACAATAAACAAAACTGTAATTATATACAGGTTTCACTGTATTTAAAATTCTATTATAATTAAATAAATACTGAATAATTAAGGAAATAATCCACTATAAGGAAAAATACCTATTGTTGTGTATCACTTTAAATAATTTAATATAAATATAAAACTTTATATAATCTTTCATAAATGTTAAACTAATAAAATTCCTTTACAACATTTAATGTTAGATTTGTATAAATCAGTATATTAAGCCTTAATAATTTTATCGTCATAGAGTTAATTGTCTTAATATAGTTTCTTATTTATAATCAAAAAATGTATGATTATAATAATGTTTTAAAATAAAAAAACATTTGCTTAAAAATATTGCTTTTTAGGAAACTTCAAAGATTAAACGAAGATTTACAAGAAAAGCTTGATAGCTTACAGGCTGAATTAAAACATCAAAATATAAGGTGAGACTTGCGCATAAATAATTAGTTATAATTTTACACATTTAATTTGTATTATATACATTTTAGCTTAAAATTTATTTGATTAAATAAATTGTTTTTAGCATTAAATTTTATAACTTTTTGTGATGTGATAATAATTATGTTATAATAATTATTATTAAAGGTTAATATGAACAAGTAACAACAATTATAATAGTCAAAAAATTATTTTAGTAACTGATTCAATATATATTGATATTTATTTAACAATTTTAAGTAATTATTCATAATATATTATAAGTATATTGAATAAATTTCAAAAATATTAAAGTATTCACTCATATTTCTTTAATTAATTTTTTAATTTATATTTAATCTGAAAAATAATATCAACTTTATAATAGGTGTAGAATCATTAAATATGAGTGTTTTCAAATTTATAGCATAATATAATCATTCATTGAGATATGCAAAGAAAAATTAGTTAGGGGTACTTAATTCCTGTCTGTATTATTTTAATTTTGTGCACCTATAAATAAATATTATAAACAATATAAACCGGTGGCATAATGTGTATGCATACCAAGCAAACACTACAAAATCAGTCTTATAATTTTCTTTTTTTTTTTCGCATTGAATTTTAATAATTTATAGTATTGTTTAATGATATCAATTACCACTTAATAAATATTAATAATTGTTGTTTGAGCCTTGAGGTATAGTTTTTGTTTATACTATTACATGGCAGTGTTGTAGCCAGGACTTCTAAAACAATGAGGGGAAGTAATAAAAACCTTATAAAGTCATACTTGTATTGTTTTCTTTATATATCAAAAAAATAGAGATAATTCATATACTTATTGTATTATAACATTTATAACCAAGTATAATATCAAATACATCTTGAAACGAATGGTGGTTTACAATTATTTTACTATAACAGAATAGTTTATACTTATTTATCTATGCTCATGTTTTAATCTTGTTACTACCATGACTATAGATAGTAAATACAATTTGTGGAAAAATATTATATAAATACCATCCATAGGTAGTCGAGTTACTACCATTTCTTATTGATAAATTGTAAATAAGATATAGATTGCTTGTATACTGGTTATATACTTTTGTATGCAAGTTCAGTATTATATACTATTATATACCTTATCGGTACTGTTGACTTAAGGAGTCACTCATAAGTTTGTGTACTAGAAATGTTTGATGTATATTCTTATGTTAGGTTAAAATGCACAATATGTCACTGTTGTAAACTATCACATTTAATAAAATTTAAATAAATAACATTATGTTTTTACTGGTTTAAATGCTGCTTTTAATTTCATAGAACATAAAGTAAGAACACAACATATATTTTGGTTAAAAGGTTAAAACCAAAGAATTTTGGTTGTAATTTATAGTTTATTTTTTTTTCAAGATTGACACGTTTAACAAGTCGAGTATCTTCAGATGATTCAAGTCATAGTGATGAAGACTAAATTTCAACTAATAGACCGGCATTAATGTTTATTACTTATTATTGGTTAAAAACTACTAAAATGTTTTGTTTCTTGTGTAATATATTATCAGTCAATTAATATAATTAATAAATATTAAGAATGTGTTAGCTCTAAAATAATATTTGTCAGATCTTTAGTATTCAATTTTTAATTTATATTTTTGTATAAACATTTATAGAAAATACCTTTTATACGATCTTACCATAAAATCAAAATACTTTTGCTAAATCTGTATTTAGTATTTTATTTTATAACTTATATTTTGTACTTAATTTGTATTCTTCAAACACATTAGACATTTTGATTTTTTTTTTCTTATTATGTAGTTATACGTTAAGTATTTGTGAATTTACTTTTGTATAGCAATAATCATGTGCAAAACAAATAGTAGTAATTAAAAATAGCGCATTAAATATTAAATGTTACTTTAATAGAACTACTATACTTCATAGTACAAAGTTAGGTTTAATTAGTATACAATTTTGTACTCAATTAACTTATCTAAAATATAAATAATTGTTTAAAAAATATATATATATTTATATATTCTAATATTTTTTATTATCATTAATTATAACTTTTTTGGCATGGAGAAGGTGGTGGATTTGGCTTGCATATTTTAGCCCCATCTTTTCTTCCATCTACATAGTTACACGAAAATGAAAAATAACCACAAGTTGATGATTTAGTAAAATACTGAACATTTTTTTTATCTGGTTTTAATTTGGCTATTCCTCCACTAATTTCAGATTGAAACCGATTAGTTGGGCTAACATATGATTCTTTATTTAACTGTGCTCTTAATTTTGTTTTATCTACAACAGTTAAACTACCTACTCCAGGTGTTAAGAATACAGTTTGAGTTTGAGCTTGACCCCCCGGAATTGCTTTGGCTTCAGTTTGGTCTCCAGCTACTGAAGCTACCCTTCCTCTAAACCCATTTGGTATTTTAGTTCCGTTAGTCCCTGGTATAACTTGACCAGCGTCTAATACTTGTCCAGATTTTAGCTGGCTATCAGAATCATGAGTAATTTTGGCATCATGTTTGTCATCTAATTTTAAAATTATATTTTGCTCTTGCTTTGGGATTGTTTCTTTGTTTGTTTGTGCTGATTTTGTATTTACAATTTCATCGCTATCTTCATCATACTCATCATTATCTTCATATTCAGGGTATACATCGATATTCCTAGACGATTCTTCTTGTAAAATAGACGGTGTCTGTGTTGAAGATATAATTTGTTGTTTGTGGTTATTAACGTTGGAAATTTCTGTCTGATTTTGAGAACGTAACAAATTAGGAGTATTCTGTAAGTTTTGGAGTACATTGGTTTCATTTTTAACTTCATTTAATAATGAAGGATCTAATGATCCTTCAAGTCGCTCAATTTTCAACTTGGCATCAGCCAAATTTAATTTTGGTAAGTTTTGAAGCTTCTTACCAGTACTTGCTTGAGCAGCACCGTTGTATGAAATTCCATGCTTATATGAGCCAAACAATTGACTTTGCGATTGACCACTATATGATCCAGCTTGAGCCGAAGTTGTCCCACTACCTTTGAATAATGACTTTTGATTAGTGCTGTTGTTAAACTCATGTGGTAAGAAACCTATTTGAGCCTGACTTGAAGTACTTCCTGGGCCAGTTGATTGTGCATCTGCCACTCCTCCTTTTATACCAGCTTGTAGTTGAGTGTTTGTCCCATAATTAATTCCTGAGCTTTGTGCTTCACCTAGGGCAATGCCATTATCTGCATTATAAAGAACTTGGGATTGTGCTTGTCCCCTTCCACCTTTTCCTTGAGCTGTACTTGTTGTACCATTTGTATTACTTACAATTTGGCTTTGTGCTCCTTTATCGCTATCGCTTGTTTGGGCTTGAGCAGAAAATGTACCGGTTCCTAAATATGATCCAGATACTTGTGTCTGACTGATACCTGTTTTAGACTTTCCTTGGGCTGAAGCCGACGCTCTAGTTTCTTGCCCATCAACGTCTACATTTGTCATTGATTGTGCATCTCCTCTTTCAGTGTCAATAAGAGTTACTGAACCTCCAGATGATATATCTGTTCCAAACTGACCACCGATAATAGGATTTGTTAACGGATTAATATTTCCCATTTCTGACCCTGGCTTAAGAGATGGACCACTAAAATTGTTATCACCATATGATTCGGAATAACTTTGAGGTTCTTTTTTTCCACCTAAAGGTGATTGAACACTTGAAACGCCACTTTGATTAGGTTCTCTATGTGATAAATTATACCCAGGTTGCTGGGCACCAGACCCACCAGAACCTAATGTGTCTTGAGGCTGACCATAAGTAGGTTGAACTTGATTTACATTTCCACCCGATGGAACGTATCCAGGTTGATGGGCACCATACCCACCAGAACCAAATGTACCTTGTGATTGGCCATAATTAGGTTGCATTTGGTTTAAATTTCCACCCGATGGCACGTATCCAGGTTGCTGGGCACTAGACTCACCAGAACCAAATGTACCTTGTGGTTGGCCATAAGTAGGTTTACCTTTATTTAAATTTCCACCCGATGGAACGTATCCAGGTTGCTGGGCACCAGACCCACCAGAACCAAATGTACCTTGTGGTTGGCCATAATTAGGTTGCATTTGGTTTACATTTCCACCCGATTGAACGTAACTCGGTTGCTGAAAATCAAATTCACCAGAATCTAATGAACCTCGAGACTGACCATAAGTAGGTTGAACTTGATTTACATTTCCACCCGATGGAACGTATCCAGGTTGTTGGGCACCAGAACCACCAGAACCTAATGTACCTTGAGACTGACCATAAGTAGGTTGAACTTGATTTACATTTCCATCCGATGGAACGTATCCAGGTTGTTGGGCAACAGAACCACCAGAACCTAATGTACCTTGAGACTGACCATAAGTAGGTTGCATTTGGTTTAAATTTCCACCCGATTGAACGTAACCAGGTTGCTGAAAACCAAACCCATCAGAATCTAATGTGCCTTGAGGTTGACCATAATTAGGTTGAACTTGATTTACATTTCCACCCGATGGAACGTATCCAGGTTGCTGGGCTCCAGACCCACCAGAACCAAATGTACCTTGTGGTTGGCCATAATTAGGTTGCATTTGGTTTACGTTTCCACCCAATTGAACGTAACCCGGTTGCTGAAAACCAAACCCATCAGAATCTAATGTACCTTGAGACTGACCATAACTAGGTTGAATTTGATTTACATTTCCAACCGATGAAAGGTATCCAGGTTGCTGAAAAACAGAGCCTAATGTGCCTTGAGGTTGACCATAATTAGGTTGCATTTGATTTACATTTCCACCTGATTGAACGTATCTAGGTTGCTGAAAACCAGTTCCGACTGATCCCAATGTACCTTGAGGCTGCCCATAATTAGGATGAATTTGATTTACATTTCCACCCGATGGAACGTATCCAGGTTGCTGAAAATCAGGGCTCCTAGAGTCTAATATACCTTGAGGTTGGCCAAAACTAGGCTGTATTCTATTTTGATTTCTTCCTCCATAAGAATGGTAACCTTGCCGTTGTATGGTCGGTACCTGTATAAAACTAACTTGTTTTTTCTCGTTTGGATTTCTTTCGTTAATTTGTGAACTTGTTATTTGAAATTCATTCATTCTTTTATTATTAGACAACGCATTAAGACATGTCTGGTATAAGAAATTACATAATGAAGGTAAATTTAGTTGGGTATAATCTTGGCCTCCATATATATTTGAAGACAATGGATATACATTTTGTATCCCAGCCACTCCGTTTTTAATATTATGATCATTTTGTGAGTTCGTATCTTTTGAAATATGCTTATTTGGTGTTAATTGACCTAAAACATTAGGTATAGTCTGCTGATAGTTGGGCAGAAGACTAGATGGATAATTTGATAATTTATTTTGATGTTCTATTAAAGTTGTAACTGGCACTTGCGGGTTGTAACTAGGATGTGTCCATTCAGAATTGGGTGTGTAATGTGGAGTCAGTATTCCATGATCTGAACCTGAAGGAATATTGGGAAAGCCTGATTCGTCAGTATATATTTGTTGATCTACATTAGGATTATTATTTGTGATTTTTTTTTGATAGTCCCATCTACTTGGATTAAATGGACTTGAATAAATAGAATATGTGTTTGGGTTAACAACATCATTGTTTACAATCTTTTTAGATTCTGCTGAATTCGTATTTGGTAAGTTTCGATTTTGTTCGTTTGCAGAATTATATACATGTTCCGAGTTTATTTTACCCAGTTCTGTATTATTATTTGATCCTGAACCTTGGTTTTTATCTGGATATTGACCATAAATAAACGGAACGTTACCATATCCATGATCTGAATTTCCTGATAATTTATTGTTTGTTTCTGAACCTGGATATTGACCAACGACAGATAGACTAATACCATATCCCTGATCTTGGTTACTTGGTATTTTATTGTTGGTCCCTGAACCAGGATATTGCATATTTTTAGATGGAGATTTTTGATTTTGGGCATCTGGTAATTTATCGTTTATTCCTGAACCTGAATATTGACCTATGATAGACGGACTGATACTATATCCTTGATTTTGGTTACCTGGTAATTTGTTGTTTGTACCTGATTCTTGGTACTGACCATCGACAAATGGTCTGATACCGTACCTATGAACTTGATAACCCGGTAATTTATCATTTGCTCCTAAACCAAGATATTGACCGTCGATAGACGGAGTTGTACCATATCCTTGATCTTGGTTACCTGATAATTTATTGTATACTCCTGATGCTGGATACTGACCACCCACAAATGGCTTGACACCATGTCCATGAACTTGATTATTGGGAAATGTATTGCTTGTTCCTGAACCTGGGTATGTATTTGGATATTGATCATTGATAGAATGTCCTTTTTGAATATCTTCATTTTGTGATCCTAGGGACTGCCTATTTGTATTCGATTCACTATAGGGTCTTGCATTTTGATTTTGAGGACTATTAGGTCGAAGTGATTGAAAATGTTTTGGTTGAGAATTGTCCACGTGTGTTGAATGTGTTCTATAATCCTGTCCAGAACAATCATCGCATTCATTAAAGCTTGACTGACTTTGAGCTTGTCCCATACCATTTAAACCACCTAAAAATATTTTTATATATTATATGAACAATTATGTAAATATTTTGTAAATTAATCGATGAATTTACAATTAAACGTTTCTGTTAAAATAATATTAATTCACTAAATGTATCTAGTGTGTATCTGAAGGAGGTTTGGTGTTTAATCCAATAACCCTTCATAATGAAATTTCTAGGATATCAAATTGTTGACAGATACGTATAATAAACCTTACCAGCTGCGAGTTACGTGCATTTTAGCACACATACATTAAATATTAACATTCTCATTCATTTAGTGCAAAACATAAAAGATATTTCAAGGTACATCAACTATATAGGAAATTTTTATTAAAAGTTAAGCTATGCAGTAAAATATACTGAAATATTAGAGATAAAAAAATTGACCCAAGTATTAAATGGTCTAAATTGATTTCAAAATGTCTTTAAACGTTTTCAATCTAGGTATTGGAGAAAAGTTTTAAGAGATTTCAATGAACTAATTATAAACATTGACCTAGGTATATGTTTACGACATTTTTGAAGATGCTAAAATCTTTTAGAAACCTATGGATGATCATGGTGTAATTATAAACCCCAGAATAGTTACCTCGTCAAAAAATTGTATAGGTACCTCATTATTATTTATACTGGTGGTCCTGGACATTATTTTAATTTCACTAATCAGAAAATATGCCACCGATGAATTAGTACCTAGGTAAGTTATGTACATGGTCTTTATGTATAAATTAAATACATTATTATATAATATTATATAATATATGTACCAATACACGTCATATCGGTATTGATGACGTATTTATTAGAGTTATTTAATTTAATTTACCTACACTATATCAGATATCTACGTAATTATGATATAGCAATATAAAAGTGTCTTCATTAATTACATAGTAACAGACAACAGTACTTACTTAGTAATTAACTAATGTAACTAGTAGGAGTAGATGCTTAAGTATTTAGGTAGAAATCGTTAGTAGGTATACTAGGTAGTAACTAGTTAGTACCTTTACCTATACCTATCCTAACGGCAAAATCTATAGGGTATAGTACTTAATAGATAATTATGCAGTATAGTATTTACAACGAATTGCAATAAATGTGTTGGATAAAAACTTATAAATAAAAACTATTTTTAAATTTTATTTATCTAATAATATTAAATATAATTTATATTTCAACCTCATAATTCTACATTATAGTTATAAATATATCAGACACTTACTGACAGTTGCCCTCGATAAATCAGGTTGTGATAGAGCTTCAGCTAATCCATTTTTTGTTTCTTGATTAGAATTTTTTGAACCAAAACTAACAAATTGAGTTTGGGTTTGACCTTGATATCGTTTCTTATCTGTTGAACGTTTTGATCTACTAGAACGCTCATTATCGAAGTTATTTAAAATAATGATTTTATCTTTGCAAAAGTTTTTTAAATTTTCACCAATAATTTCAACCATCTGTAATAAAAATAAACAAAACACAATATCATACCTAATGCTTAATAGGTATTATTATTATTTATTTTATTGTTGAATAAAAAAATAATAAGTAGTAAAAAATTGTTTTTACTTCATCTTCAGTTAATTCCATATTTTGTTCATAATTGTTTTTAAAATTTGAAATGTTTCCTTGATCGTTCATTTGTTTCAAAACACACTCTTTGGTCATTTCATTTTTATGTGCAATTATTTTCTGAAATCATTATAATTTATAATTGTAACCAGCTATTTTGTAAATATTATTATACCAACAAATATAAACCATAGTCTTTAACTATTTATTAAAAATAAAGCTAGGTATATAAACTACATATTATACTGATTAAAAAATTTGTTTTGTTAAGAGTTTCTAATATGTTCTACTATACATGTGTTTAATTCGTGTTTGTCTAGCGAAGGAGATTTAATGCAAAATTATGCCCTAAAAAAAAATTTAACTCTGAATAAATAAATAATGCATTAAGAGTGAACTATTATTTTAATTTTTAATAATTTTAGTGTAAATAATGATATACATTTTAAAGGATTATACAAAAAGACTCAAAGGCAGAACTTATCATTTTAGACTTTTTTAACTTGGAAAAACAATTATTTCCATGCATCATTATTTTTGTATTTTTTAAAGGTATAGATCATAATATATATTTATTTACTAATACCTATGTATTAGTAAATATAGAAATACCTAACTATTTAGGTATAATTTGTTAACGTAAAAAACTAAAAAATTTAAAATCATGGAAATACATGAAAAAATCTTAAAATAAAATTTCGAACTTAAAAACTTCGAAAATTGTCTTAAAATGCTCTAAAAAATTTAAGAAATACAAAATAAAAACTTCTTATTCTGATACAAATATATTTGTATAATTAAATATATATACATTAAACGTGTACCTACCTATGTTATAGAACGGGAATTGCGTAGATTTTCGGAAAGCAATGCAAAGTCTATCGAAATCAAAGCCTTTAATAATTATGCGAAATAAAATATCACAAAATGAATATTATTTGACCAAGTAATTTTTATTATAATCGATTATTAACATCAGAACTAAGTAGGTACGTTACTGTTATAGATTTATGGAATTTACTTAGTGATGGAACCAAATTCCATATGTCAATTAAGTTTTTAATTTTTTGAAAAAAAAATTTAATGTTCATAATCAAAAATAGTTTAAAATTTGTGATATAATTGGCTGAATAAACAAGAAACATTTAATTTTATAAATAACCCGAAACCCTCAAATCAATGGTAATATTTTATTTACTAAAAAAAAAAATGAATTTTTTAAATTTATAATTACTTAACAATTAATTGAAATTAATTATATTACCTGTTACTGTCTACCAAGTAGACTCTACCTATAACTAACTACTTACATATATAATTCATTCATACTTTTTACATTCCCTATTTAATATATATATATATATATATATATATAAGAAAATAAGTACCTTAATCGTATATAGTTAAACAAAAAATTGAAAAATGAAATATTATTTCCTTTCCAACCCCTTAACAAATCCGGGCGGATGCTTTTAGGTAATTATAGTTTTTACTTACTTTTTCTTTTTCGAAAAATTCTGTACTGGAGAATGTTGAGGATATATCAATATCATTTGTACTTTTAGTTAACACTGAACCATTCTGAAAAAATTACAGTCTGATAACTTTTTATGAAAAAAAAAAATGTTGAAATTGCAAATTTAAACTGTATAGGTAGGTATCGTTAATATTAATTATAATAATTTAMACAGTTAGGACTTAGGAGTGAAGTACTATTAAATCTAACCTCAACTTCGTAAACTTGTGTGTTTTTTTTACCTATATTTAAATATAGGTATAGATATCTCACTATATTTTAGTAAAAAGCTATAATTAATCACTTACTAGACAGGTACCTACTTAATAAAATAAATGTAAATGTTCATTAAATATTGAACTTGTAAAATTACAAAATAATGGTAACTTTCTCAATTATTGTATTTAAATATAGTTTTTATAAAATTATGAATCGAACTATAATCTTATTAATTTGTTCTTACCTTTATTATAGACAATGTTAAACAGATGGGTACTAGTAGGTTAGATATAGGTAGGAAGTTCCGGATTAAGCTATTTTGGTGTCCTAGGCTGCACTTTCTCCACAATATAGAGAAATATGTTGGATATAAGTTTTTGAAAATTTCATGGGTTCCATTTACTATATAGGTCCTATGACCCGAGTGTTCAATACGGCTCTAAATTATTAGGTATTTTATAGCAATAAATAGGTACCTAACCTACCTACGGAATATACGTAAAATACCTATACTATACTATTGAGATTTTGGTACAATAATGAACTCGGAAAAATAAAAGTATTACATAATTACGTCAGTGCGTATTGTAGGTTGGCTGCAGGTAGTCTGGTACTTACCCATAATTATTAAGATATCCGTATACTTTCATTCAAATAAAAGTAAACTATTATAAGCCTATCGTGCCTAAATATTTCTACACATTTTTATAGGTACATGAATTTTATATAAGATCTTCCTATGTTTAGAAAATACCAGTATTATGAAAATTTTATAAATGTTACCTTGAATTTGAAATCAATGTTAGAATGATTACCGTGGGATACAGCTATACAAGTTAAGAACACACACAAAAAACACGAAACAGACATGATAGAAAAATTAACTTTGAACAACTCAAAAAAAAAAAAAATTATATCAACATCACGTGTATTCGTCTACGACTATTTTGAACATCGAATGACAAACGCCCGAATGTCTGAAGTGTGGATTTTTTTTGTTAAAATATGAGTTCTTAAAAATTATTAAAACATCTGCGAGTTTAAGCAGAAGGGAGTGAATTCACATGTATACAGGGTGTTTCGAATGTCATCTTCTTCAAATAATTATAAGATTTAATGATTAATTTTTTACTGTTCTAAAAATAGGTGCTATATAAATAGTATTGTAAATTTTATTTTTAATCAACAATTGAATGCATTTTTATGTATATTATAAAATTTAAATTTGAACCTATAATTTAACAGCCATTCTCTAGATGTAGTTATTGTCTGCATATTTCCCAGCCATTTTCCTTATTCGTTCCAATAATCATTTTATAAAGATTGAAAGATTCCATCACATAATTTTTTCCAATATTTGTATACAATATCTTACTGTTGTATACAATACCTATAGTGTCGTATTGGATTTTAATTAATTTAATTAATTTATATTAATTAAATATCGGACACTTAATAAATATGAGTTTGTGTTTTACAAAACAATTACAATACCTAGATACATTTCTAGAATTCTAAATTAATCGGCATCATTACAAGCAGGCGTTACTGTGCCTTAGATTAAGATATATTGCGAATATATTTTGTACACAGCACAAATAAGTATACTTATTCAATAGAACTGTCATATAGTGTATTTAAAATCATAATGCTACGTAAATATGCAAAAATAAAAATATTTCGAGTAAGTAGGTATACCTATTGGTTTGAGTAGGCCATTTGTTTTAGTAAGGTATTTTGTTTTAAATCATCCTGTAGATATATTAATTAACATTTGCCACATCATGCATGTTCTTTCACCGCTAACCTAATTTTTTTTCTTGACAGTCTGATGTCAAATCGTTTAGGATCAAAGGCCATTAACCAATTTCCAAATGTGTATATTCTATAACATATGGTTGAAAGCCAGAGAACGATAATTCATACTTCATAGTAGGTTAGGTATTGTTTCAATAAATGAATAGCTTAATTTTGCTATTATGGTGGACTTCTTTATTTTGGTTCCAAAATATAAGTATTGGATATAGAGGTTAGGGTAAAAAAAAGTAAGCGCAATGTTCTTAAATTAAATAAAAAAAAAAAAATTGATAAATATGTTATAGAAATATTTTAGGAAATTACATAATGAAGCATATCAATGTCTGGCGAATTAATCATACGCGTAACACAAACTTCCACACGCGTGGCTACCAAATAAGCGACCTAAAATCGTATACATATGTATACGACGGTGGAAAAAAAACAAAATTAAAATTAAATGAATCGAAAGAAGTTAACTTACCGATGTAGTGGATTTAAATGACCGGGAACATAAGAAAAAAAAACTAATAGTATTTTAGCAGCCTTGTGCGAATTTAATTATTCCGGTCAAGACGCCGCCCGTCTTCCGATGACATGAGTCAAGAACGAAAATTGGTTTTCGTCTCGGCCCATAACACGCCGAGGCCTATAAGACTGATGACACCTCCCCCCTCCCAAGTTAATGACGTCTCATAAGTCTGATCCTTTGTACGTTTGTTGTGCTGAATTGAGCGCAGATCAACAACCTCGTCCGTTCAAAAACGAATAACTCTTCGCGCAGTATTTATTAATTAGTGTTTGAGAAATATGAAATATTTTTTTCATGATTTTTATGAAATATTTCATTTGAAACATTTAATTTTAAAATATTTCACTATGTATGTGATGAAATATTTCACAAAAACGTGAAACATTGAAATTTTTTTATACAAATATTAATATGATGATTTCTTATAATTAACGATATAACTACCTGCAAACCAAAGAAAACTTTTGAGTAGTTAGTGATGTTTTCSCTGATATTATAAAATTGTGAAGGTAATATAGTTATGACAAATATACGTAAGAATAAACCTTATTAAAAAAAAAAAACAATTTATAATATTACTGAAATATTTCATGAAACGTTTAACAATTTAAAATTTCATGAAATTTTCAAAAACTAAAATGTACTAAGTAGATAATCGTGTTTTAGGGATGTTTTCTTTGGTTTCTTAAATATATAGTTAAGTTTACAGTCGTATAGCTAGGCGGGTACTAATGTATATGCGCCAAAAACCCAATGGGCAAACTAAAAAAATGTAAAACGATCGACGTTTTATATATTTTGATTTTTTTTTTAAATTGTTTGTTCCCTATAAAACTATAATTGGACGCGAACATTTTCTATGCGGCTATTATTATACGACCGAATATTTACACAAATATATTCATACAGGCAGAATAAGGCACCAACTACACATGTTTAATGGTCATGTAGTTATTATAATTCCTGTGTTTTCGACACCTACCTACCTACCTACGTGCAATACACTGTGTACGGTAGGTAAATAAATTATTGTAATAGTATGGCCAACGATAACCAAAGACAAAAAAGGTTAGCCGTTGAGGTTATCATCGCGGGTCTCGGGCTCCGCATTTTACAATTATTACGCGCATTAGTTACGTCCTTCTCATTCACCAATTGCGCTCTATTGTTTACTGTCGTAAACCTCGTAAATCATAATAATATATTGTGTATACCAACGATTAGATTTTTGTTTTGTTTTATCGTTCACTCGTCACACCGTCCGATCATGTCGAAACTAACCATCATCGTCTTGTCAATGTTGTGCTGCTCTCATCTGACCACAGCGGCTCCGGACTTCTTCGGCGAAGAGCAGAACGTGCTGCAAGCCGAGGGGTTCGGAAACGGAGAAATTAAAGAGTTCAATTTGGGTGAGTAGGCAGGCACCGATGAACATATTTTCATTGGTACTCGCGATTTATGCACTTTTCAGATAGGCATTATAGCGCAAGTACAATTATTTTATACCCATTTCGATGTATTTTATTGTTTGAAATTAGACCGACACCTGTTGGCTGTTCGTGATTTTATCTGTGAACATAATATGGCCCTCCATTTTTGTTAAGATTTTAATTTTTTTTCTCGTCCTCGACTGATGTGTGTTATAGCCTTATAGGCATGATAAGGTGTCTATCAATCTATCGCCTATGTAAATAAAAAAGCTAAATGTATGCTATAATTTATTAATGGTATTGACGGTATTGTAATTGATTATAATCAGACAACCAGTCAAAGTTCTATTATGTATACGTATCCTATATGACCTATTATTGTGGTCAGTTAATAGTCTAAAGGAAAACCGTTGTAATATTTCTAGACTGATGAATTAATGATTTCATTTGATGCTTGTTAATAATTGCGTCGTATTAGGAATTCTGCGAATTACCATTTTGGTTGCCTGCAATAACATCATGCCATTGAAGGCATTTTTTGAATGCCTCATTAATATAATTATCTATGCATAAAATAAGGTCTATTTTGAGACAATAATTCTACTTACACTATTTATAAATCTATATAAATACAAGGAGGTACTTTTGAAGATAAACACTCATTTTCTTGAAAAATTTGAACGATTTTGCAACATTTGTTTTTATTCAACTACCTAATTGGACGTAGTTTCAAAACAAAATTAATKAGAAAAAATTATGTGCTTTACTATTTTTTTTTTTATCGTTTTCTAAAGTATAATATAATTAATTGTAGATATATGCCAAAAAAATATATTGTTTTACAATATTAATTTTTTTAAATTGTTATTTGAAAATATACAATCTATATACAAAGACATATTAAGAATAATATTATGTGGTATAATATTTAGAAAAACATGAATAGGGTGAGGGAAAAAACCATTTAGTGATCGCACTTCCTTTTGAAATTAAATATGGGAGCTATCATTGAAAAAAATATATTGTTTTAAAATAACCTTATATACCTATCTAAAAATATATTTCAAAAAAGTTAATCAATACTTTTCGAGAAAAATAATGTTTAAAGTATAATATTCAAAATAATTATCTGCATAATACTATTTTACCTCGAGAAATTGTATACTTGTGACAGAATGAGAGTTTTATTAGATACCAACAGGTTTTTTGAAGTTCTGTGATTTTCATTTACCAACAAATAGGTACCTAATAAGCGTTTGTTGAGTGTTTTAAATCATGTGCAAAACAATGAATTTATTTATTTAGGTACAATGATATATTTTTGTTTTGGGTTTGGGTTTTTAGTTCTTTACAATATCTAATTAACAAAATAATAGGGAACAAAAAAAAATTCAGATATTTATATATTGATAGCAATGTACCTAACATGCTAGTTTCCGATAAAATCGACTTATTTATTTGTGATACTTAATTGTTCCTAATAGATAAAAATAAATAGCCGCATGAAATTTGAAAATTATATCTAATATTTATATTACAAATTACTAGACATATTATAATACTCAATTAATTATTATTGAATCATATTGGTGTACCAGTAACTATTGTCTGAATAAAAATTATTATCAAAATTTAAGTATTATAAAAAAAAAAAAAAATGTTACAGTTACAAAATGTTATGACGAGGAAACTAAATCAACCTACAAGGTAGACTCCATTTGGTATCCAGTTGGAAAATGTGAAAAACGAACTTGTTCTAGACAAAAGAACTCAAAAACTCCAACAATCAAAACTATGGAGTAAGTCTTACCAAAAATAAAAATAATATAAACCTCAGAAGAATTAACATGAATTGTAATATTTTTTTGTTGCAGATGTGAACCGTGCACTTCATGTAAATTGCCTAATCAAACATGTCAACCATTCCGTTCTGATAAAAATTATCCTAAGTGTTGCTCACAGTGTTTAACAAAGTCTACTGTACTTTTAAAAACAGAACCAAAGAAAAAGTACCAAAATATTTAAATAATTTATAATTTTTATTAATTTATGTAATAAAACACAAAAACCTATACATTAAATTCAATCCTATTACTTTTCATGTATACAATATAGGTACAGTATAATATACACAAATCATGTATTTAACAGAGAGTTGGTACATACATTCGAATACAATTTACTGTTATTACTTATAAGTTATAACGTAGTTAAAATAAGGAAAATTTTAATTGACAAATTATACTTAGATTGTTAATTGATATTTTTTTGTAAATCATGGCAGTTAGTGTCAAGTACAAAAATATTTTTGTGAAAAGATTATTGTATTTTATTATACATTTTTATTGGATATGACACATAATAATGTACCAAAAACATAAATATTCAGAGGTATCAATATAAACACGACAGTTTTAAGATTATTACTGTTTTTAAACATTTTATATTAATTGATCACTTGTATTTCTTGGTGGAGAACATAGGACCATGACCAGGTATAATATAATCCACTTGTTCCAAAATAGCTTTTCTATATTTTTTCTGTGACAAAGGGTTTTCACTGCCAGCGTTTAACCAAATGGATTCATCCATTATATCGTCTTCATGTTCAAACAAGTCACCTACGATTCCGATTGATGCTTTGATGGTTTGAACGATAACGGATACATCTGCCAGTGTATGTCCAGGGGTAGAGACAACTTGAATATTCTTATCGATTTCATACACACCGTCACTGTTGAAAAATGTACTGTCATCATAGTACATCTGTTTGTGACTAACACATCGGCCTACCAGATGTGTGGCGTTCAAAAATAAGTTATTGTTACCCACATGATCAGAGTGGCCATGAGTACTAATTACATAATCAATTTCTTCACATACGAGTCCATGTTGTTCAATAGCATTTAATAATTTCATTCTATCCCACGGAGTCATAGTATCAACAACAATGTTTTTAGGACCTTTGACCAATGTGCAGGTACAATTGGTCAACATACCACCTTCTGTTGGCCGACAGTAGCCTTCAAAAAGCACTTGAACTTCGTACATGACAGAAGTACAACCAGAGATCAAGCTGTAGGTAACTGTTAAAAAATAATATAGTTCAAATTAGAAATTAATTATTACCTAATCTCATATTAGTGCTTAGTGCCTACACTACAGGACAAATTAAATTAATTCTGTGCGTATACGACAGAGTTTCATCTATTCCATGGTAATAACAATGGTATAAGTAAATTTTGTATTATATTATTAATAATCAAATAGTACCTACCTATTATGTTAAATATATTATACAACTAATGGTAATAGTATTTTAAAGAATTATATAGGAACAATTGTGTATAGTACAGTTGTATAGATAGTAAAATGTTACAATATAATAGAAGAGAGGAGTGTCAATGTACACTGTTTTATAGACAATTGAACTTATATAATATTATAACTGAAATAATTGGATATCTTTCATACAAATGATATGGTAATAAATATTGAATGTTGAGAATTATTCATTCGAGTTAGGTATCACTGTTCAGTTATATTGAACTTTGAAATACTTAGGCATCAGCATTTGAACTAATGACTACCAATTGAATATTCAAACATAATATATATATATATTAACTGTTACTTAATTTACAAATGGGACATGGGACATGAGTCAAAATTTCACAACTGTAGAGATTAAAAGTAAAAAACTATAAAGATAGTAACTTACTGTTATATAATATAATAGTCTTCAATAGGAACTTACTAAGATAAGTATTTAACAAAAGTCTGTAAGTCTATATATTATTATCCAACAGTAAGCTGTTATATTATTATACTAGCAGTCATTAATTTTGAAACCTACATAATATTTAAATACTTAACAGTCTTAACTCTAATAAGCAATAAGTCATTCGGAAAATCGGAAATCACTCAAATCAGAGTACCGTGAATAGTGTGAATTGTGATTGTGATTATCGAATGTCGATAGATAACAATATTTTTGTTTCATATTGTTGTTGTTGCTTATCACAGAGATAGATAACAAATAACAATGATATCACAGATTATATGAAAACAGATTGTGCACTAAGACGTAAACAAAAAAATGCCCTGATATAAATCTCCGCCAGAATCAATGTGACCATTTGATGGATTAAAAATATTTGAAACATATCGTATACTGGTGGCTCACCTGATAGTGATATCCGACAAAACAAACCTTTTAAAAATACGGATGCTCAAATATCACATTTAAATTTAAAATACATGGAAAACTT